ATTTTAATTATAGTGGCATTTTATTATACCTTCTCCTGGCAAAATTCAGGCTAGGGACTTTTTTTTTAATCTGAAAAATGGTGGATTTTCCTAGAGGCTGAGTTAACTTTCATCAGCAGTCAGAATGCTGCTACCTTTGATCCCACTTTTAAAGCATGGTAGCTACCACTTTTCACAAATTATTTTCAGCATACCCAAAAAATAAAAATGTATTTGCAGGTCCACTAGCAAAAAGAAAAGTGACAAAATCTATTAGCCATCCAGCTTTGTTTCATAAATTGGTCACCAACTGAGAAGCATTTTTCCCATGACCATCAGGAGTTATGGAATAGAAAATTTAGATATCAACATAAAGACTGACCAGAAGAGTTAGACAAAGAAGAGGAGTATCTCACTCCTCATCCTGGTGTATGGCCATTCTGTTGCTTCCTGCAGCATCTCAAGTAGGTTTTCCCAGCATAATCATCAAAAAGACAAGTAAACACTGCCTTGCTAGAAGAAAAAGATAAATGTTGCAAGGTAGGTAATCCATACAGTTAGAATGAAAAATGTCAGGTTGAAAAAGGCTTTGCAGCATGTAGTCTAAAACTGTCATTTTACAGGTGAGAAAATTAAGGCTCAGATCAGTGAAGGGCATGTCCAAGATCATGCAAAACAGCAAGTATTAAGATGACTCCTAAGGGACTGTATCAGTTTCCTATTGCTGCTATAATGAATTACTGCAAACTTTAGTGGCTTAAAGCAACACAAATTCATTGTTTTACACACAGTTCTGTAGGTCAGAGGTCTGACAAGGGTCACACTGGACTCAAATCAAGGTATCTGCAATGCTAGGTTCCTTTCTGGAGACTCCAAAAAGAATCTATTTCCTTGCCCTTTTCAGCTTCTAGAGGTTGCCTGCATTCCTTGGCTGATGGCTCCTTCCTCCGTCTTCGAAGGCAGCAACATTGCATCTCCCTGACCATTCTTCTGTAGTCCATCTCTGGCCACAGCCAAGAAAGGTTTTCCACTTTTAAGGACTCATATGATAAGGCTGGATCCACTTGAATGATGCAGAATAATCTCCCTATCTTGAGTTCAATGACTTCTAATTACATCCGCGAAGTCCCTCTTGCCATATAAGGCAATATATTTGCAAGTTCCTGGGGATTAGGGCACAGGCATCTTTGAGTAGAGGTGGACATTATTCTGTCTACCCTGGGGAGGAAAGATGGCGAGTCAGTAGAGAGTTGGTTGGTTAAACAAGGAAATAGTTGTGGATACCTGTTGCAGGTTGGGGTCCCCAGGCATCAGACTCTGAGATGAAGCTGGGTGTGTTGGAAAAAAGAGGGCTTTTGGGATCAGCCACTGCAGAGGAGCGGAATTAAAAGAGGCAGTTAGGCAAAAGGAGGAGCTGGACTTTCGGCTCATCACAAGGTCCGGCTGACCCCATGGGGTTCCCTAAAATGGAATGGCCTCTCAGAGTTATCAAGAGGGGCTGAGACTTTAAACTCTTTCTCGGATTGCTGTGACCACATCAAGCAGTCACAGGATATGGGCTGCCCTGTGTATGTGTGCTGGGGAGAATTGCTGGTATAACTAAGTCAGCTTTCTTCTGACAGAGTCAGCTCCCAATAGCTAGGGTAATATGTCCTTCAGTCATGAAAGATGATTTAAGCAAATAATCACAACTACTGCTTGAATACCTGTACCTAAGCTTCACTTTTACATGCGAAGAAAATAAAACATCAGTTGTAGTCTGGAATGAAACCTGATTATAAAGTGGCCCTAGACTCAGAACTTAGAAATCAGAAGGAAAAGAGTCATGTGTTTCATCTACAGTGTAAGGAGAAACGAGGTATGACCTTGAAGGAGAGTGGAATCTTGGAGGATGTATGAACATGGGAGCAAGAGCAGGCAGGGATAACGTGAGCATGGCAGAATGAGATTGGGTTGGATATGGATATGGAGTGGACCCCAGAAGAAAAAAACAGGCAGATCGTAAGGTCTGGGGACTAAGATCCAAACCAACATCCAAATCCAGGGTTCTGCCCAAACAACAGCAAAGAAGTGGCATTGGCAGAGGCTAAGGGCAGGGCAGGGCAGGTCAGGTCATGTCATCCTGATACTGGCTTAGAAGGATTCCAGCAACTTTCAGCAGGTACTGGTGGTCAAAAGAGTAGAGTTTATGGTCAGCCATGGAAGTGACTGAAGAACAGGTAAGAAATCTTATTTCAACAGAACTGAGGAAAGGGTAAGAACTTCGTGGGGAAAAGGGCATTCTGTGTTACAGTAAGCAGGTGTACTACAGTTTTGCGTCATCTGGCCCATGAATGTCATTGGCTCAAGCCCAAGTCTGATCCTGGTGCAGGAAATGAAGATGCTCTGGTCACCTGAGTAGCAAGGGTTGAAAACATTAAGGGACTGGGAAGGCAAAACCATCTGCTCGCTCCAGGGGAAATGCTGTCACATTACATCAGGGCTGACCTCAGTGTTCATTCTAACTGAATGGTATCCACACTCAGCAAGGAAGGTACAAAGACTGACTTGTTCCCACCCCTTAGTCCCCAAGTTCTCACTCCCTCGGGTCAGTGGTGAGCCAGCACTGCATAAGGATCGTTCTTCCTGTTTGTCCAGATGGACAAGACGAACTCCCCAGCCACCTCCACTTTTCCACACATCCAGGCTGCAAAGCCTACAGGAAATAGTATTTTTAAAAAATATTTCCTGCATCTTCTAGAAGACTGTGAAGACGTTGCACTGGGCCAACCATACTTGTAGACAAAAATGGTTTTGATTATCCTACATGGTTCAATTCAAGTGGTGAGAAACATCATTGCCTTTCTGTAAGTCCTTTCTACATGCAAATGTCAGCAAGAACATTCGTAATAGTGCCTCATGATTCTTATAGGGCTTCACATTTTACATAACTCTTAACCTATACTAAATCTCTTGAATTTCACAATGCTACTTATAATCCCAGCACTTTGGGAGGCTGAGGCCAGCAGATCATTTGAGGTGAGGAGTTCAAGACCAGCCTGGCCAACATGGGGAAAACCTGTCTGTACTTAAAATACAAAAATTATCTAGTTGTGATGGTGTGCTCCTGTGGTCTCAGCTATTTGGGAGGCCGAGGCATGAGAATTGCTTGAATCCAGGAGGTGGACATTGTAGTGAGCCAAGATCATACCACTGCACTCCCGCCTGGGCGACAGAGCAAGACTCTGTCTCAAAAAAAAGAAAAAAACAAAAACAAACCAAACAAACAAACAAACAAAAAACAATACTACTTGGGAGAGAATTATTAATACTCTTCTTAAGGGTGAAGAAATTGACATTCAAAGAGTTTAAGTGCCTTACATTAAGTCATGAAGAGATAGTCCGAAATGGGACCCAGGGCATATAAATCCCAGCTGTCCCCAGCACATCATCATGATAATTCTACCCTGAACAGAAGACCTTTGCATCTCACAACACTGGAAGTTTGACAGAAAGGAGTGTCACAAAGGGTAGAAAAAGCTGGGGGAGAAATAATCTGAATTTCACATTTCGTCTCAGACCATCTAGAGATTATTGTTTTTAACTCTTTAACTTGGCGTTTTGAACTGTTTAAAGCATCTCTCATCTTTATCTCATTTAATCAGCTCAGCAATCCTGTGATATAGGCAAAGCAGACGTGACAGGTGAGGAAACTGAAACCCAGAGAGATTAGGGGACTTGCACAAGAATAGACGGGCATTTGGTGACTGATTCAAGGCTGGAACCTAGATCTTTGAGGGCAGTAGCCTTCAGAATAGGAATGAGATGGGAGAGAAGTATGTGTTGAATGAAGTAGGAGGGAAGCATTTTATTAAAAGATTAATCAAAATTCATCTGAAAACCAAAGGGCCAAGAACAGTCCAAAGAAATTTGAAAAAGACTATGAAGAAGATGAATTTACACTGCAGACATCAAAGCACAGGATAAAATTGTGCAAGAGAAGTATAGGTATAGAGAGACCAGTGGAATAAACTAGAAAGTCTAGAAAAAGACCCACACATTTTGGAAAACCGTTACATGATGGGGTGATTACAACTAAGTAGGGAAGGAATGGACTCTTTGATACACATTGTCGCAGAAATTGGCTCTTCATATTGGAAAATTAACAGAGCTCAATTTCATATGCAAAATAACACAAAATATTACAAATAAATTCCAGATAGATTAAAAGTTAAAGTAAAAAATTATCTTTTAAACTATTCAAAGAATATTCAGGAAGATAGTTTTATAATATCTGATTAAGAAAAATTTTTAAGAACACTAAAGTAAAGAAAAAGATCAATAAATTTGACTATGTTAAAATTTAAGACCAAATTTATAGTCTTGTAGGAACAAAGTCACCGTAAACAAAACTAAAAGACAGGTAAGAGATTTGGAGGAGAAGTTTGCAATGCATGTGACCTAAGAAGGTTTAATCTCTGAAAATGTGTGTATATGGGATAGGGAGTCAGATGGGGACAACTATAAGTAAAAGACAAACAGCCCAACAGAAAAACAAAATATAAAAGCAAACAGTTCACAGAAATGGAAATCAAAATGACCTACAAAAATATGAAAAGATGCCCTACCTCATTAATAATCAGGGAAATGCCCATTAAAAAGCAAATAGATAGCATTTCACACCTATTCAACTGTCAAAAATTGAAAGGTTCAGTAATGCCAAGTTTTTATGGGAAATGGGCACTGCCATCCTAGAGGAAGTGCAAATTGTTTTTATCTCTTTAGAGGGCAATTTAGAAATACCTTGTAAAAGTAAGTATATACGTATCCTATGACAAACTAGTTTTATGTCTAAATATAATCCCTAGAAAAATTCTTACTCCTGTGTGTAATAGGACAGGTAAGAGGATGTTTATTATTGCATTATTTACAATATTGAAAATTGGAAAACAATTTAAATGTTCATCAATAGAGCAATGGGAAAACACTGTACAGGCACAGCAGTGAGTTCCCGTGAGCTAGACGCAGGCATCAAGAAAGATGATCTTGAAAAAATCCAAGGTCTGTGTAAAATATCAAACCACATTAATATACCATTTACACACATATTTAAAACATATAAAACAATGTTATCAATCAAATATGGATTCAGACATATGCATAATAAAAGCATAAAAACACAGAATGCATGCAAGTTCAAGAGAATGCTTTTTTGGAAGAAGGAGTAGAATAGGCTCACAGAGAGGATAAAAAGGATGCGATTGTACCTATAGTGTTTTATTTCTTTAATTACAAATAAAAATATAAATAAATCAGAGAAATATTAGCATAATAATATTCTGGGCAGTGGATATTGAGAGTTTAATATGGTAAGCAATTCAGAAAAGGAGAAAAGGAAAAGAAAAACCTCCTCACCAACAGCCTCACTTTCCTCTGGTGGAAATGAGAAGGCAGTGGGGGAGCAGGAGGCTGCAGGAGAGCAGAGCTGACAGCTTTGAAAATTACTTGGCTGTGGATGTCTGCTCATGCACACACCACACCAAGATAGTTCCACACACGATAGTAGTGGGATCATTTGTGGAAAGAGCACTGCTGAGCAAGGTCACCACGGACTACTGGGGTCCCAGCCAGCACCAGCTCTGCCAGGGCATTCCAGGACTAGGAATGGGGTTTAGAATAACAAATGGCTTAAATAAGGTAGGAACATGTTTCTCTCAACTTAAAGGAAGTCTAGAGGTAGGCAGTAAGGGACTAGGATGGTGGCTATGCCACATCCCCAGGACTCAAGCTCTTTCCACCTTTCTGTTCTGCCATTCCTAGTCACATGGGTTCCATCTCCAAAGTGACCTTAAGATCTGAGGTGACCACTGCAACTCCAAGCCATCCTGGTGAGACACAAGAGGAAGTGAAGGTGAGGAGGGCAAAATGGTCCCTACTGGCTGACTATACCCCTCTAAAACTTCTTTCCTGGAGCCCCTTAACTTGCGTGGATATTTTTGGATCATCCCTAATGCCAAGGGAGGCTAGAAAATTGTATTAGTTTGTTTTCACACTGCTATAAAGACATACTTGAGACTGCGTAATTTATAAACAAAGGAGGTTTAATTGCCTCACAGTTCTGCATGGCTGGTGAGGCCTCAGAAAACTTACAATCATGGTGGAAGGGAAAGCAGGTATGTTATACATGGCAGCAAGTGAGAGAGAGTGTGTGTCAGTGCAGGGAAAACTACCATTTATAAAACCATCAGATCTCATGAGAATTCACTATCACAAAAACAGCATGGGAGAAACTGCCCCCGTAATCCAATCACTTCCCTCACTCCACATGTAGGGATTACAATTCAAGATCAGATGTGGGTGGGGACACAGAGCCAAGCCATATCAGAAATGTTTTCTTTAATTCAATCAGCAATGTGCCTAGCTAAAAAGTTAGCTATTGCTAAGGAGAAAGGGAGAATGGCTAGTTGGTTTGCAGCTAATAATGACTACCAGGGTTGGTGACTAATTGTGTGCCCACGGACAAGGGCTTTCTTCCTCTAAACATTGCTTTCCTGTCCATGCAAAAAAGAGGATAGGTGAGGTGCTGCTTTCCTCAATAGAGCCAATCATCTTTTCTCACCTTGTTCATTGCTTCAAACTTTAATCAAACTTCAATTTGAGACAATTATCTTGAAGCCTTTGTCTACTCATTCTCTCTCCCTGACTGCAGGGATTTGGGTCGTTGAAACTTTTTCTCCCTGCATAGTTTTGGTTCTATATCTATGTTGCACACTCACCTCTCTTTGGGAATTACAACTTCTCTTCCAGGTTTACCAACTGCTAGAAACACCCAGATTTTAACTTTCCAACTCACTTCTTCCAAGAAGCTCCCCCTGGTATGATGCCACCTCCTCTGAGACCACTTCATCCCACTGTCCCCTGTCAAGAGCATTTTTTTCACTCAGAGAATCAAAACTTTCGTTGAAGACAGACCTTATACCATCTGGCCTAGTGATTTGCAACTTGTTTTTTAGAGTCCTTTCTGCAAGTAAAAAAGTATATGAAACCCCAAGATGATGAATAAAATGAATAAAATGTAGAATGGGATGGGGCAGAGGAGCCCCAAGTCATTTCAGAACATAGTTAGAAAAGATAATATCTTGCCCTCATTTTATGAATAAAGACATTGCTGCCCAAAGATAGAATTCAATTGTTCATGTTTTGTAGCTCATACTAGCAACACCAATAATAACAACAGCATTAGCTAACACTTACCCTCTGTGTGAAATACTAGCGTGAGTGTTTTATGTATATTAATTAAACTTTGTGATAACCCAAAGTTGCATAGGTAGTCAATGAAAGACCCAGGATTTGAATGAGGCATTCTGACTCGAGAGACTATGCCAGAAACCACTATTCTATAAGCATTTAAGCCACATGGCCTGAATAATTCTAGTCCTCTAACTCCTAGGCCAAGGATTTGATTTGCTTTATATTAGTTTTTTAGTTATGGATTCTGAACATGTTTCTTTAAATGTTTTTCTGTGACTTACATTTATTTTTTTGCTGCATACATTAGGCATTTAGTGAAGACTTATGATAAAATATTTGAGTTCAGTAGGCAAGAACAACTGCTTTTCACTTGAAACTTTGATGAGATTTGACCTGGCTCATGAAGGCCACTGCATAAAGACTACATAGAAACATCAAGCCACATCCTTAATCACCTAAATGGAAGACTACATTCCTGCCAAATCATGTGTGCAAAGAGGAAAGGCAAGCATCTTGGGCAATGTTCTGTGCATGGTCATCTTTTAAGTCAAGTCCTGGCAGGGTAGAAAATAGTTGTACCTTGTTAGTGTCCTGTACTTCTTTCTCCAGAGTGGTGGTATAGGAAGGGTGATCCAGGGACCAGGAAGGCAAGAATTGGGTGACTGTTTGCAAAGCCCAATTTTTCCATGTCCACCTTTCTATCTGGACAGTTGAACTCTGCAGGAGAAATCACAAATTCCCCAAATTAGTGCCTACTCTACATTCATGGTCCCTTCCTCAACTCAGGTTATTCTTCATCATGTCCATAGTCACTCATCATCAACTCTGACAAGAAACAAGAAGTGCTGCTACTGCTTCTCTGTTATCAGCAACACCATCCACCCTTGTGATCAAGCCAAAACTTGGTAGTCATCTTTTATTTTTTTCTCACTCTGTCACCCAGGCTGGAGTGCAGTGTTGCAATCTCGACTCATGGCAACCTCCACCTCCTGGGGTCAAGTGATTCTCCTCCCTCAGCCTCCCAAGTAGCTGGGATCACAGGCATATGCCACCATGCCCAGCAAATTTTTTTTTTTTTTTGAGACAGAGTCTCGCTCTGTCACCCAGGCTGGAGTGCAGTGGCCAGATCTCAGCTCACTGCAAGCTCCACCTGCAAATTTTTTTTTTTAGTAGAGACAGGGTCTCACCATGTTGACCAGGCTGATCTCAAACTCCTGACCTCAGGTTCAGGGTCTTACCATGTTGGCCAGGCTGATCTCAAACTCCTGACCTCAGGTTGATCCACCTGCCTCGGCCTCCCAAAGTGCTGGGATTACAGGCGTGAGCCACTGCGCCCAGCCTGGTAGTCATCTTTGACTCCTCTTTCTCCCTCCACACCATCATTGAGACAGTCACTATGCCCTGCTGTTCCTATCTCCTTCACCTCTCTTCAGTCTGTCCACTCCCCTCTGTTAGTCTACATTTTGTTTTGAGCCAGCACCTTCCAGCCCATTCTTGGTATAAGGAAACCTTATACACACACCCTTTCTTAATGGATCTCCATAATATAAGTTTTGGGATAGAGTCAAAACTCATAAAATAGAAAGCCAAGTTGTTCGGTGTCTGGCCACTGCTTTCCTCCCAGCTTCATATTTCCTCACTGAGATACTGGATCCTCTAAATGGTGGATATCTGCATATGCTGCATCCTATCCTGTCTGATTCTCTCTCTCTCGTCCCTACCTCTCAGTCAATATTTGGCAAATGCATGAGTGGATTTGGATGCAGAAGGAGAAGAAAGAAAGGACAGACAGAGGAAGGAGGGATAAAAGTAACAATAACAACAACAAAAAAAACCTGGGCATGTGGATGGAGGAAGAAAGTTTGTCCAAAGCAGAAAAATAGAAAATAAAAACAAAACAAAAACAAGCAAACAAAAAAAACACAATGGCCAGGGCCTCAAAGCCTTGTTTATAAGATCCTGGTGGCATATTTCTATTTTAAATTAAACTCTAGGACATAAATTTCACTTGACTGGTCCCCAGTCAGCACTATAGACCTCAAAATGCCACCCAGCCACCTGGTGATCCTACAAAGCAAGGTGAGGGGTTGAGCCTTGAGGACAGATCAGAGGAGTGGTGATTAAATCCAAGACTGAGTCTTGTTTCAACCTTGGGATTATATCAATGTGCATTTCTACTGAGACAGGGTCCTCTTGCCTTCTTACTGAAGTGAGTCATTGCCTGTGTTAGCCCCCTTCTTCCCTAGTCCTCTCCATGACACCCTGGGAAAAATATACTTACTGATAACTTGGCTCCATTTTTTGAGGGATTTAGGTCACTTAATATGTAATGGCACTTAAGAGAAGCCAGTTAAATTTGGGGCTGAACTGGTTAAATAATTAGTATCTGCAACGTAGCAGCCCAGAGCACAGAGAAAAGAGTGGAAAGAACACGGAATGCCTACACCATGAGACAAAGTGCTGCTATCCCAGCACCTTGACAAGTCCCAGCTCCCAGGTCTGACCTGCTTGCTGAAATTTTGAAGACCACCCAAAGGCACTTTAGCAATTCATGTGAGCAAAGGCCTCATGAAGCTCTGTGTGGCAACACCAGTTTCCTGGGGGCAATTCTTCATGCCTATTAATGTGATAATCTGTTTTCAAACCAGACAGTTTAAGTGAGAAAGAAGAATGAGAAGAGATGATTCCCATTACCAACGGCAACTTGATCCCTAATAGTAGTGGCAAATGTGAACAATTGTTAACACACTTAATTTCATTCAGTGCTCACAACCCTCCTATGAAAGTATTATCCTTATTATACAAAAGGGTCTGAAATTCAGAGAAGTAACATTTCCAAGTGTGATGGTTAATATTAGGTGTCAACTTGATTGCATTGAAGGATAGCTGGTAAAGTATTGTTCCTGGGTGTGTCTGTGAGGATGCTGACAGAGGAGATTGACATCTGAGTCAGTGGACCGGGAGAGGAAAACCCACTGTCAGTGTGGGTGGGCACCATCCAATTGGCTGCCAGAGTAGCTAGAACAAAGCAAGCAGAAGAAGGTAGGATAACCTTGGCTGGGTGCAGTGGCTCACTCCTGTAATCCCAACACTTTGGGAGGCTGAGGCAGGCAAATCACTTGAGGTCAGGAGTTCGAGGCCAGCCTGGCAAATATGGTGAAACCCCATCTCTAGCAAAAATACAAAAATTAGCCAGGCATGGTGGCAGGTGCCTGTAAACCCAGCTACTCCAGAGGCTGAGGCAGGAGAATTGCTTGAACCCAGGAGGTAGAGGTTGCAGTGAGCCAAGATTGTGCCACTGCACTGCAGCCTGGGCGACAAGAGCAAGACTCCGTCTCAAAAAAAAACAAAACAAAGGAAGGTGGGATAACTGCTTGCTGGGTCTTCTGGCTGCCTTCTTTCTCCCATGCTGGAGACTTCTTCCTACTCCTTCTGCCCTTGGACATTAGACTCCAGGTTCTTTGGCTTATGGACTCTGGAACTGGCACTAGTGGCTTGCCAGAGGCTCTCAGGCCTTTGGTCACAGACTGAAGTCTGCACTGTCAGGTTCCCTGGATTGAGGCTTTCTGACTCAGACTGAGCCACTACCAGCTTCTCTCTTCCCCACCTTGCAGACAGCCTATTGTGTGACTTTGCCTTGTAATAGTGTGAAGCCCATTCTCTCTAATAAACTCCCATATATATGGGAGTGTCTATATGTATATGTATAAATACATACACAGACTAGCTGATGACAGAGGCAGAAAGTGATTGCTGGACTTCTCAGTTCCCAATTTGGCTCTTTCCTCATTATACTGCTTCATGGACTCTTGCAAGCATGAACCTAATAGACACAATCATTCAACAGTTAATTCAACAACTGTATATTGATCCCCTCCCAGGCACCAGGCACTGTGTTAGGCCAGTGAGGATACAGCAGGTTCAAAACAGAAAACGTTTCTTATCCTGTGTGGGGGTCATATTCTATTGAAAAGACAGACATATACTCTTTCAAGCAGAGGGCAATGCACCCTATGTCCTATGCAAAATAATAAAACAAGGCAAGGGAAATGGAGAGCAGTGGGGCAAGAGAATAGATTTTGTTTTTCAAAGGTGGCCAGACAAGGCCTCTCTGTTGACACTTGGCTTTGAGCTTTCCAACAAAATCCATTCCAACCTTGATGTATGCCTTGCTTGTACCCACAGTGCAGCAGGAGGCTGACAATGAGCACATTAGAGACAAAGAACAACCAGTAGGCATGGTGTTCCCATTGAGAAGGGAGGATTCAAAAGTAAGCCCCAAAACTGCCACAGTCTTGCCATGGGGCAATTTCACAAGTAGAATGGGGTGGCCACTAACTAGCTTGGCAAGCAGAGAGGATTTTTTCGTGACGAATCTGTCCCCAGCGAAAATGGCCCAATGACTCAGGAGCTTAAGGAAGCTGTCCTTGCTATCTGATTCTGAATACCTTCTATCAGAAGTATAATAGCTGGATAATTGCAGGAGGAGAGCAAGGGGAAAGCCTTTAGAGATGCTTCAAGATTTCATTGAAAATGTTTCGTTCATAGACTTAGGAGGTTATGTTTCTGGGAAAGCCACTAAAAGTAAAATAAGAGGAAGACTCTGATCATGCCTTAGAAACATTATAGAAGTTCATTCCCATCTAAGGACCAGAAAAAAAAAAAAAAAAAAAAAAAAAAACTTTAAAAACAGAAAGTGACAAATATAACCTATTTCATAACTATAATGCAATATATCTTTACATTGTGTAGTGTAAGTTTTTAAAAAAGATTTAGCAATCAAATAAATCAACAACAACAAAAAACAATTTCCCAGGTACATACTTCCAGGGAACATATTTCTGTATTTTACTACTGAAATCACCCCCAGAAGAGTTATGTGAGGCTGAGAGCTCAAGAAGAAGTACCTGACAGGGTCAGTGCCCGAAGCTGGGAAATAAGAATGCAGAACAGACAGGGAAGGGCAGCGAGAAGCTGCCAGATGCCCGGAGCCAGGAAGTTTTGTGCCCAGGGTGACAGGAAGCAGCCTGGTTGGTTGGTGTCGCTTGCCGTTTGCTGCAATGCCGTAAGTTCTAAGATAGATGAAATTGGCAGGAATCAAGCAAGAAGCTCACACTCCCTCTGTATCTTCACCTCTCCCTCCCATCTCCACTTCTGCTCCTGGAGACTCTCAGATCTGCTCTGAAGTTAACCTCCATCTCAGCTCAGGATTCATCTCCTCCTGTCTCCTAATTAGGCTCCTTCTCCCTCAGCTGGTCTCTCCCTTTCAATTAGAGTCTTCCTCCCATTTTAAGGGAAAGAAAAAAAGAGAGAGAGAACTTTCCTTGGTCCTGCTTTCCCCTCCAAGCTGGCATTCCATCTCTCCACTTTCCTTAATTGCCAGATTGTAAAGAAAGGTTTCCGCACTCACTGTCTCTCCTTCCTCCTCTCCACCCTCCTCTCCACCTTCTTTAACACCCACAGTCAGCTTTCTGTTCCCACAACTCCACAGAAACTTCTCTAACTGCTGAGAAGTTAGAGAATGTGACAACTTGTTTAAGCCTTCAGCCTCGGCAGTTCTGTCACTGTAACCATTACTTGGACCCAGCCCCTTAAAAGTTTTGCCTCATTTGGCCTACATGACTCTGTCTCCCTTGTCTTCTCTAAAGCCTTCCCGTCTTCTTCCCAGTCCCAAACACCAACACCACCTTAATTTTTCACTGGTGGAGAAGAGACGAGAATCAGCAAACTCCCCGGTTGTTTTCGGGTCACACACCCCTTTGAGACTCTGATGGCAATTTTAGAGTCTCCCCAAAATGTCATTTTATTGATATATATTCATATACACACATATGTATATACATATGTAAACATTATCTCAAAAGGTCCCTAAATTAAGAGGAGCCTCTGTCACAGAAAATAGCTGTTTTTACAAAATGTGACTATGATATCATGTGGCCGATCCATACTACACTTAAACCACACATTTCTGGTGAGTCCTTGACTTTCAGAGGTGCTATATTAGAATAAAACATTTTATCAGAAGGCTGATCCCAGGATTCTCATGCAGTTTTCACACCCTAAAGGCTGTATGATCTTGGACAATTCACACCTCTAAAACAAAGTTATCTCCTCTATAAAAATGGGTATTATAATTTCTTCTCTGCCTCCCGAGTTTGTTGTAAAGATTAAATAAGATCAGGAATTTGAAATATTTTGTAAACTTCTAAGTATTACAGAAATGATCACTATCAAAATCATTGATCAGTATCCTTGGAGCTGCAGTGTGTTGGGGAAGAGGAGCCAGGAGGTTGTCGACATTGGGTTTTAATCCCATCTTGGGCACCATATTGTGATTTGACCTGGGTCCATGTTCCAGTTTGTAGACCAGAGATGATCACAGGTCTCCTGGCTACCTCGTAGAGCTAGTCTAAGTATCAAATGAAATAATGAATGTGGAGGGACTTTACAACTCAGCAAGACTGGGACGCCTGCCATTTCTCATCCTTTTCTTTGTCCGTCTCCATGTGCATTAATTGAACTCTGCGAGCCAAACAGAGTGAGCCTGCTCTCACAAGAGTCCCACCGTGCCTGATGATGGAGCATTCCTACAAAATAACTCTAGAGTCAAATTAGACTCCTGTGAGTTAATCATGGATAATGTAATTATAAGAAGCAGCAAATAAATTGATAATAATTGGCTACTTATTGTTTTTTCAAAGAGGGCATGGAGAGAAAGAATACAGTGTACAAGAAAGATTATCCTTTGTAGAAATAATCACTCCTCCTGGTCACTTGGCCTATATTGGAACCCACCCCAAGGAGTGCTGGTGTCTCTCTGACATGCTGGGTTGCTATAAAATACTTTCTCGAAATCCTTGACTTGAAATCCTGCCCTTATCCTGATGCACGAGTGTTAGTAACCTCTAGCAGGTTTCCAGTTCCTTAAGAAAGAGCATGGTGGCCAGAACCATTGAACATTCCTTGTTCCCAGTCCCTTCTTTGCTTCACTGCACCCAACCAAGGTTCAGAATATGAAGGTCAGGGGCAGATGCAAACAGACCAGTAAAGTTAAAGTCGACCCATCTCTCCCTTTTCACCAGGTTCTATCTGGTTTTGGGAAGAGATGGGATTTTCATAGCACCATGAGAAGGAAGGGATCAGCTATTGTCTTGTGAGAACAAGCCTGGTCACTGTCAGATAACATAGCAAAAAGTATTTCTCAAAAGGACCTCCTTTGCAGGGGTGAGGAAAGACAAGTGTCTGGGGCTCCACATACAAGGGCAGGAAAAAAGGAAATGGGAGAGAAGCTAACATTACTGAGCTAAGGACATTACCTATATTATTTCATTCAGTTCACTCAACAGTGACCTCTAGTATGTGTATATTGTCCTGTTTTACCAGCAGATAACCTGAGGGTCAAAAAGGCTACAACTTGCCCAAGATCACACAGAGAATAATGAACAGAGAAGACTTCAAATGCCAGACTGTTTTCACTCTGGCAAACTAGCTCACCAAAGGTGAGGACAGCCAGGAAAAGAGAGTGACTCTCTACTTGTGTCCTGTCCATGAACACTCCCCTTTAAGGGACCTGTGATTATGATGAGGGCCACAAACTATGAGTGAGTCAGAGCCAATCTGAGACTTGAGTCATCCACTTGCCAGCTTTGTGAACTGAGTCCTTAAAACATAGCAATAAAGCGAACATAATAGTATCTCTCTGGAAAATGTGTAAGTTGCTATGTAGTTCCAATGCAATGTTTTTTGTAATTGCTTCATCTCCCACCTACATAAGGCTGCATTGTCAGGTAGAGAAGTGTCATTGTCTCTATTGAATGGGGTGCAGGTGAAGGGCATGTCCCTGCAAAGATGCAGAAGAGCAAGGGCCGTAGAGGTGCCAGGACACTGGGCGAGGATAAAGCTGGTTTTAGAGTATCCAGAACACAGCCAAGGTCCAATAATGAATTACCCAGTCAGAGCAGGACTGGCAGTGACAAGGGATTCCTGAAAGGTTGCTCAACACCTCCCCAGGATCAGAGTGATCCAAGAGTCTTGGGCAGAGTTACCATCATCCCTTGGTGGGGCAAGTGACCTCTGCCCTGGGGGGAAAAAATTATGAGGGAGAAAGCCCGCAAGTCTTGGCTAGAGCAAGAACATCATGGGACATGAGCTCCAACTCTGATTTCTTCCTCTTATCCTTGGATGTGATATCCTGGTTTTATGGCTCTTGAGAAAAGCATAAGCTCCTAGAGGCAATGGATTCTATAGTAAATGTTATTGGATATTTCACAGGGCTTAGAGGAGCATAGAACTCAAATAAATGTCCCCTAAAGGCGGAATTCCATGGCATTTGTCTGTGAGTTCCCATAGTTAACTTTTCCCATAGTGACTTTAGTGTGGGGCAGAAGATGCTCGAAGACTTGTGAAACAGGCAGATTCCCAAATTCCACCATGAGAGATTCAGATATGGGAAGGTTAGGGGTGGGGCTGTTTAACAAACTCACTAGTTGTTTCCAAATGCAGTTGATCCTTGGGGGAAATCTTTGAGAAACTCTCTGATAGTCTATTTTTTCACATATCATCTTGTACTAAAGTTAGTTGTTTAGAGATTAAGCTGCCTCCATGAAAACATAAGCTGCTCCAGGTCAGGGTCTATACATCTCATCCCGATACCCCAGAGCCTAGCAGAGCACCTGGCATGCTGTAGGTGTTTGGTTGGACTCAGCAGAACTGGAAGATCATAAAATACATCTCATTTCCATAGGAACAGTTCCATGTCTAGGATTTGTGTTGTGGACAAGGGTCACTGTATCCTCATATATCATAAATATGGGTAACAATATTGAACCATGAGATGCTAGAGTGATCAAGCTGAAAAGTACCCTAATTCATTATTTAACATTCATAAAGCAAAAGAACAGCTCTGGACCTCTGCAGTCACTGGGAATGGTAAGATTATGCTCCAAGAAACATTCTGTGAGAGCACATCTAGTCAATGTAATAAAGTTTACCTTACAGTCACTTTGTAGATAGGAGAACTGAAACATAAAGAAGTTAACTGACACATTCAATGTTGCATCATGAATCAACATCAGACCCAGAATTCAGACCCAGGATCCTGGATTTTCTAGATGTGGTGCTTCTTCCAAACCACAAGATTCTGATAAGGACCTGTGTGTCCTATGTGTCCTATTTCTGGGATTTTTTTAAAAGAATGATCAATAAAATCTTTCCTTTTGTAATGCTTCTACTGCTTGCTACAGGGAAATTTGTCACAAGAAGAAGGCATCATTTTAAAGTTCCATGGGCAGCTCTTTCCACAGATGTGGTCCATGGAAAGTCTTTCCCAGAGCCCATTGGAATTCTAAAAAGGAAATAAAGTGAGAGTTAATTAAATGTGTAATTAATGGTGATTGTGGCAAGCATGGTTCTTTTAGGTCAGATTGATGATGCAGGGGAGTGATAGTGTTTGTGAGTGTTGTATGTTTTTAGGATTTTAGGGCCCTTGTCTGAGCCCTGGGATTTTTAGTTAGAGGCAGGCTTTGTGAGATTAGGGAACAGGCTATGGTGGGCTTCAGGGAACAAGCTCTACAAGGGGTCTCTCCACGTTATGTACATTAACCAAAATGGGGTCATCCCACACTCTGCACTTACTGAGCAAGTTTCCCTTCAGCACTGCCACATCCCTCTCCAGCCAAATACTTAACAAATCACCCCAACCTGACCAACTCAATGTCTGGTTCTTATTTTTCCTCCTTCCCTTTTCTGTTTGCCATTGTAACCCTCCTGTCTTAATGCTTTTCTGCCTCTTCAGGAATTTTGACTACTCCATTAAGCTTTAGTCTCGTCAAAACACATTCCTATTAGTCAGTTCTCGGACACAATCTCTACTTTTTCACCTTATGCAAAGCTCCACGTACTCTTTTTTGGCAACTGCAGTTAAAATGCTAAATTACAGAGGTGGGCAGACTCTATTGATAGTAGAGAGGGACTGGTGCCCCTCTCTTCTTGCCTACCTTTGCTAATGACTTGAAAATAAATCTCTCCAGTACCTCACCTGCTGATCTGCTGTGGCTTAATCAGCCTAGTAGATTCAGAGTAATTTTCCCCATCAAAGACTGTGTTCTCATGAAGGAATTCTTCTCATGAAGAATTCCCACACCACTGGAATTAGGTAAGACAGAGAGAAGTGTACCTATTTTGCAGGTTCTGAAGCTCAGGATCAAGGATTCAGCTGACTTACCCAAAGTTAGTAACAGAGCCCCTTCCAGAACCATTGCTTCCTGTCTCCTGGTCTAATGGTCATAAGTCCTTATTTCTCTCTGATCTTGCTCTTGCTGTGGCTAAAGTGCACACACAAGGGTGACTGATGTGTCCTCAGTAAGATGGAAGGGAAGGAGGAGGGAATCTTTGTTTTCATCTCCTGGAATGTTCCAATAGTTCCAGCTGTGGCTACAGTTCATGACTGCGGGGATTTTTTACTTGTTTATTTTCTTTTGAAAGATTCTATCTAGATTCCAGCAAACTTTCCAGCAAACAGTACTTTGAGGCAGCTGGAAAAGGGAGGACTCTTCCTTCCCTGTCATATGTCCTTAAAATAACACAACAGGGGAGGAAAGCCCACAGGGTCCCCTTAAGGTACCAAAGATAGCATAATGAATTTGCTAATCATAAACGGTTTGCTCCTGAGTTCCAAGTGATATGGTAATGAATTGCCAGCGAGCCATTTGCCAGACCGCAGCCATATGGTAAGGGATGGGACCCTGGTACATAGTAGCCATACTGTGGGTTTTTCTGCATAACTGTTCCCATCCAGAACCTTCCCATCTCTATGGCTGCTAATTAACATCCTGTTTAAGCTTCTGTTGTCAAAACAAGTCATTTGTTTGCCTTATGCAGATAAGTCTTTCTCTTATCTGGTCAGTAATAGTGACCATTAAGAAATGAAAATGTGTTTGAATCCACATAAAAATATTTGAGTTACACATCTTGCATTACCCAGTGGGTACCCGGGTCTAGCAGCACTAGCCTGTGGAAGCAACTCAATCTAGGAACTTATTAAAACCAACAAATTATCATCTTCCCCTACAGAAACACAAATGAGGATTCAGTTCATTAATTTCCCCATTGTTCTTCCTTTCTGCAGACATTACTCTAGTTGGAACTCTAGCTATAAAATGTGGATTTTATTATAATAGCGATGATAATAAAAATAATTAGGAGAAGAAGGAGATTCATTTATCAGAACAAGTCACCCTTTCAAATACACACTCCCTCTTGATTTGATGAGATGGTGAGATTTGGGAAAGAATCCACTGTTTCCTTGCTGCCTTTGTTGGTTTCCTTAGCAGTTACCCAATGGGGCTAGAAAGAAAGAGAGTTAGGAAAGGAAAAATAAAAGCGAAGTGACTCTAGGATCAAAGGGAAATGAGAACCTATGATAGGTAAACAGCAAAGCAAATCAGAAAGAAACAATTTTACGAGGGATTCAGAAGCACAGCAGGCTAGGGAGAGGCTGTTTGGACAGTCCAGGGTGTGTCCAGTGTCTTACACGCCTCACCACCACCACCACCAAGGGCAGACGGGGAGGTGGGCAGGGATTGTCCCTCTGTCCCCCATGCCCTCTGCTGCATCCTTCTGACAGCCTTTGACAGCCTTTTTCCACTAAGATGGCCTGCTATCCATGTAAATGCATTTTCCTTTCATAACGACATTGAAGAATATGGGAAAATGGAGGCAAAAAAGAGAGAAGATGGAGGGGGTGAGGAAGCCCACAGAGTAATATTGCCTGAGAATACTCCTGGGTCCCTCGCTTCCTATAGGACCCAGTAGGAACAATCACTCTCTTTCACAACTTTCTGAGTTTTCCCTGCATCCACATACCTCACCCCAGAAACAGCCAATGTGCTAATTGCAAGGTCAGGCCAGTGTCTTACGTGGCATCTGGGACGTGGTATAATGCAAACAGATTTCCATATGTGGTCCCTTCCAGTAGTCCTCGGCCCCCCGAGCACCCACACCACATGAGAACTCGGCTTCTCAGGAGACGTTGACATTTTAATTGGAAGCATCTGTTGCCTTTTCTGTTATTTTTGGCCAGGTTTGGTTTATTTGTATGAGCCGATGTTTGTGTACAGACCCGCCTACATGTTTCACAAAGCCGAGCCTTGCCTCCTCTCTCATTTTCCTCTCAAGTAGCTGACTGGGATGTGTGATGGGGCCACTTGCCTTCACCCTGTCCGTTCTGATGTGGATTTCTCTCTGCAGAATTAAGGTAGGGAGGGGCCAAGCTGAAAACAGAAAAGCACCTTCTTGAAAAAGATGTTCTGAGGGAGGGAGGCTCACTGCTTCCTGCAAAGTGTCTGCTAGCCTCCCAGCAGATTCTGCTTCCAGCTTCAAGGCTACAGCCAGCTTTGAGGCTGCAGGGGGACCTCGAATGTGTCAGGTCCAGTCCTGTACCCTCGCAGCTCTGACTCACACACTAACTGAGGTCCCGTCCTCAAGTCTCCCAGGAGTCCTGCTCTCAGAAGCCTTTGAGACCTGCCCTTCACTTTATCCTCACTTAGAAAACCCATCCTTTTTCTTCCCATCAAACCCAACCACCTCCACAGAGCCTTCCTCTAGTTGTCCAGTTAGCCTGATCACACACCAGCAGAGCGACTATCCATCAGTAATCCAGTGGCAACTGGGTGTTTGCTGAATTCTGAGCTGTAGTGGGTTGAATTGTGCCCCTTCAAAAGAAAAATAGCTCTATACAGAACCTTGGAATGTGAATTTATTTGGAATAAGGATTTTTGCAGACAGGTTAAGGCTCTCCAAATAAAATCATCCTAGATAGGGTGGACCCAAAAATCCAATAATGGAAGAGACAGAAAAAGACATGACAGAGAGAGAAAAAGGGCATGTGAAGACAGAGGCAGAGATTGGAGTGATGCTACCACAAGCCAAGGAATGCCAGGAGCCACCAGAAGCCAGAAGTGGCCAGAATACTTTTTCTCTAGTGCCTCCAGAGGGAGCATGGCCCTGCCAACACCTTATTGTGGATTTCTAGCTTCAGAACTGTGAAAGAATGAATTTCTCTTGTGCCGAAACACCGAGATTATTGGTAATTTGTCACAGCAGTCCTAAGAAACTGATATTCAAGCCCTGGGCTAGGGTACCATGGTGTACAAAATCCTAGGAATCAACAGGAACTGGAATCTATCTGGACATAAAGTGAGAGGACCTGACTTTCCTCCCCTGAGGGGAACCTGACTTACCCCCTCCTCAAGGGGATATCACCACTCAACAGCTATATCTCCTTGAGGGGGTCACTTGAGCTCCCTGGTTTCACTGTCCTTTCCTATACATTGAAGGAGATGGACAGGACAAGGTCTATGAATCCCTGCAGCTCCAGTGTTGTCTTTTTTGTGTAAGAAAGGGAGATTATAACTACACAAGGTGATGACATCATAACCCCGGGTCCCCACTGCGAGATGAACACTGAAATGAGCACTACAGACCCTAGGAGAGGAGGGTTCAAGTAGAGTCAGGGAAGGTCCTAGGGGAGGTGGTCTCTGAACTCAAGGGCAGGTTGCTAAAGAGGAGGAGTTGGGAGAGCATTGATGGCCAGGCAGAGAAATCAATGTGCAGAGGTCAGATGAGAGAGTGACAAGGAGGAAACTAGTCAGGCTGGAGCAGAGAGGACTGCAGGAGCACCATGTCCATACTCACCCAGAAATTAGTCTTTGGTAACCTCTGCCCCGTAGCCAGGGTCTAGCATCAAGGGACGTGCTTTCCTCCATAGAAGAGACCAGGCTGACCCTCAGGTCACACACATCCACATTAAATAAATACGGATTGAACACTCGCTGTCACCTTGCAGTCCTGGGCACTAAAGAGTCTGTGGGGACACAGACTCTGTCCTTAGTGGGCATACAATCTGATGGTAGAGGCAGCCTATTGAGCATGTAACTATGTTCAGCGAGATAGGTATTTTAGGCAGAAAAATGTACAGAGGAGCTTCTGCTGCTATTTGGGGAGCTGGGACATCTTCCTGGAGGAAGGGACTTTTAAGCTACTTGAGAAATGAATAAAATTGGCCAGTTGACAGGAATGGTGAGAGTGTCCCTGTAACTCTCCCTCATGTAAGTCCCATCAGACTCTCTTTGCTTACTGCAAAGTAAAATAAGGAAGCAGAAACATACAACAGGAATAAATAGGAACCGTAAGAAAAAGGTAAGAAGAACCAACTAGAAAAACATGGCAATCTGGGGGAATCTGGCACTGGGGCAAATATCCCTACATAAACAAGAGCCTGCCAGGTACCACTCCAATCCTGTAATGCAAGCTTAAAATAGATTCCATGTGCTCTGCTTATCTCAAAGGTAAGAAAGACTGGAATACTTAGAAACTATCATCCAACATGCTCAACAGAGGCATCTCAGCACTCTGAAAAACTGCTTTGCGTAGATCTCATGTTCCAGCTGGGGCTGACCTCCTGAGTCTTTCCTGTGTTGACTTGTTTACAGGCCGGTCTTCACTTGGGTTCTTGATGTGACTCTTCTCTCCCTCTCTTGGTCTTTGGAAGTGTCCCCATCCAAATCTCATCTTGAATTCCCGTGTGTTGTGGGAGGGAACCCAGTGGGAGATCACTGAATCATGAGAGCAGGTCTTTCCCATGCTGTTCTCGTGATAGTAAGTCTCACAAGATCTGATGGTTTTAAAAAGGGGAGTTTCGCTGATCAAGCTCTCTTCTCTTGTCTGCCACCATGTGAGATGTGCCTTTCACCTTCTGCCATGATCATGAGGCTTCCTTAGCCACGTGGAACTGTAAGTCCATTAAACCTTTTTTTTTATGTAAATTACCCAGTCTCAGGAATGTCTTTATCATCAGCGTGAAAATGGACTAATACAGCCTCATCTTGTCTTTGCTTGCCAGCCCACTCGTGGGTGCTCAACTCTCTACAAGATGTTTCTGTAGGATGGCCAGTGTCCTTTAGATGGGTCACCTCCAACCTTCTGGAATCCCTCCATTCTGATGGGCCATTGGAAGCTGTCCAGTCCCTCAACTCGACTTTATCAAAGTCCTACTAGGTTCAAGGCATCTTGCACATACAAAAATGCCTGCTCCAGGGAATTAACAATCTGGTCCTGCAAATGAGACAAAAATGTGTAAACATGTAAACAGAATTACAAATTGTCAAGATATTGGGGGCTGACAGATGACCTTTGAGTTGATTTCATGGATAACAATGCCAGCATCCCCCAAACCTTCAGATCCATCTAAGGCAAAATGTTAGGATAGAAGACCCATGGCCCTGAACTCAGGGACTTCAGATGGTCATGACTCTGTCCTGGAGCCGCCTGTATAGCCAGTGGTCTTGCAAACCTTTGGAAGAGTCCAAGAAGTAGAAGGAAAATGAAGACTCTATGTGTCCCTTCATGGGATACCTTGCCCAGTCCTACCCAACTCATCTGTGGATTCCACTGTTTCCATCACATCTCTCTTTGTAGATAGAAACTCAAGAGGAGATGAAACAAATCTCCCTGTCTCTGCCTAAATTTATCTCAGTCATCTCCTCCATATATATATATATATATGTCTTTCTGGCCATCAATACCTGCTTGTCTCTCTCTCTTTCAAATTCTCCATAAGTGTCCTTTCTGTGGTTTTCTCTTTCGCTACCTCTGTCTTTCTATCTCAGTCTCTATCTCTTTCTGTTACATACCCATAAATGTTTTTCAGGGAAACCTACTTCTCTTGTCTCAGTGAGCCTCAGTTCTAGTTTATTAGCATGAAAGCAATCAAGGTTTAAAGGAAAAAAAAAAGACATTTACAGAAAAGCCCAGATATGGTTGTGACAGCATTTCAGGTCATGGAGGGGACAGGGAAGGAAAAATAAACTAGACAGAATGGAAAAGTTGAGACTGGGAAGCCAGGTCACATGGTGTCAGCAATCTGCCATTCAAGTGGCCGCCACTCTGCACCCTGTGGGCCCCCATCCCTGCCTCCCTTGGATGGCTCTCGAGGGAGGGTCCAGGGGCCAAAGCCCTTGAGAAGTTCCATTGCGATGAACTTTGTTTTTGTAGAGATGTCTGATCCAGGGTCCACACTGTGACTTCTCTATGGAATGCAGAGTTCTGTAGGTCACGGACTGGGCCTCTGCTCCATAGAGAAAGGAGCATTGCTGGTTCCATGTTAGAACCCGAGAGACCTTGGAGAGGATCCCATCCATCCTCTGCCTAACGGAGAGGGAACCTGAAACCTAAGTGGAGGGGTTGTCCATAATCCTACCCCCTGTTAGGGGCAGAGCCAAGCCCCAAGCATTTCTCCCTCACCTCCTCACTGTCCTTCCTGGGTTCCAATCTCAGTTTCATCTTTGACAGGCAACTTCAAGGGAGACACTTAACCTCTCTGAGGCTCTGAGTTCCTATCTGTAAAATTAAGGACATGGAAGTGAGCATTTGTGATGGCTTCTTACAGGTGCTGTTTTTTATAATTTTTCTCACACTTAAATGTGACAACAGATTTGTGTTTTACAGTAGTCATTACAATTCCCGTGTGATAGAATTGTGTGATAGGAGGAAAAAAATGAGTCTCTCTGAGATAAAGTAAGCTCCTTAAGGTCATGCAACTCATAGAGTGATTTATCTGTGCCCCCAAGTCATACTAAGTGTAGGTTTGGCGGAAAATGAGAAGGAGTGCAGAACCAAAGACCAGGCTCTTCTACACTCCCAGGCCCCTCTATGTGGCTCCTACTGTGGAGGCAGGGAGTACCCTCAGTCCAACCCTGCCACCAGTGGAGTGGTGCCCACAGGAGGACAGCCTGGCCCACTCTTTCATGGAATGTCACAATATTGCCTTCCCCTTTGCTTGCTGATCAGGGTTCTGCCTCCCGAAAGTGACCTAGGCCAGTGTCCCACCCAGTGGCAGAATCAAAAGGCATTCAGCCATGCTCCCCATACTTGGGTTTCTACCCACCAAGAGAGAGGCATAGAGATGTCCAAAGCCCCTCTCAGAACAGCCAGCTGATCCCGTCATTGAGAGAACTTGTTTGGAGTGGTGACAGTTCCCTAGCTTGTTCTTGTCCTGCTTACACAGCAGAGCAGTGTTTCCAGCTGGCATTTGCAAAGGCCACTTGCCTCACTTTGCATTCAGGACTCTTCCCCACCAGCCAGTGCTCAGAGAGGCTGCACTGTTGTGTGTCTTTGCATACATCACTCACACACATGCACACCAGAAATGCTGTTATTTTTAATAAGACTTCTTTTTCCCCCTCCTCTCCTGAAAATCCAAGAGAGTCCTCTACAGGGCAGAGGCCAAGAGGGCAGCCATCCACATCATATGATTTGCAGACAGCAGAAAGGTCCCCATTCCTAGCTCCTGTGTTAATTTCCCTCTTACTGTGATTTTTTTCTTTTTCCCCAGCCTTCTGCAAGGGGCATTATCTGGCCCAGGCATCTTTGAACTTGACACATCCTTGGCACTTGTTTCTATTTAAAGTAGCACTTTATTATGTACGGCCTTAAATTATTGTTTCACTATTTACTCTGTGAGAAAATTTCCTCCCCAACTAGGTTATTGATACACCTCTATATTTTGGGGCAGTGGATCTCTGAAATTCTAGAATTTATATAGTAGCTTAAACATTAATTTTTCAGACTCTCTGACATCGCTCAGTAGTAGATCCTTTTAGGATCACACTTTACAGATTACCTTATCACAGTTTAGTACACACTTTACAGATTACCTTATCACAGTGGTTCATATTTACCTGTTAAATGTCTAGCTGTCTCTCCATTTGGAAAGTGAGCACCTTGAAAGTTGAGTAAGTGCCATAACCAGGAAAAGCTTGCAGGATGAGCGAGGGTCTCAGGTGTATATGCTTGAGAAAGAAGGAAGTTAAAACTAGATGCAAAGAGAAGAGGAAACTAACCTGAGTGTCCCAATTTCTACCCAGAAGTGTTCTTCCATTTGTGTCAAGTATTCTCCCTGGAAGGGTCCTTATAAAAAGTACTTTGGATGAAGAGTACAGATCCCAAGGTACTTGGTGATACTGCACAGGGTTCAAGCCTCCATTGGCACACCAGGGAGTTCACTTTGGGAGATAAAGCACTAAGGCAAGAAAATACTCAGAGGAGGAGCAGTGTTTGAAGACAGGTAGACTGTGGCATCAAGACATTGACCCTGAAGAAAGAAGAAGGTAGAAAAATGGACTCTCAGCTCTCAGGGAAGGAACTGAGAGCCTAGGTAGAGCCCAGGCAAATAGACTAAAGTTTGAGGTGCTATTCCAAGCCCAAAACGGATTAAAGACGCTATATGGGTAAACCAAGGCAGGAGCCCAGATGCATGTACAGGAGCACATTTCAGCAGAAAGAGAAATGCCTGGGGACTACACACCAATATCCATGGAGCATCCCTGGGCAACAGATGAATTCCAGTCCCCATCAGATGGTGGAGGTAAGGCTCCCAAATGAGTTCTTGTCCTCTTCAGGTATAGCTCAGGAATTAGGAGTGACCCAGACTAGCATGGAAGGAGTGGAGGAAAAAAAAAAATCAAGGTCAGATGGGCAATACCTAGGCCAGGGAGAAGAGTCCTTCCTCAATTTTACATTCACCATACCCAGAAAATTGCCTGATGCATACTAAAGAGTCAAGAGAAATTTGTTGGAGTACAATTTAAAGGAGAGAGAGGCTTCCAGATACCTTTCCATCATTTTGGCAGGTAACTCCCCGCTTTCCTGGTCAGCCCTTGCTTCCTGGAACCGTTCATCCAGTGCCACAGAGAAAGTGCAATTCCCCTCCTGCACTGCTGCTCATTACCAAGAAAAATGACAGCCTGATGGTCTTCCAGCAAGAGAGAACAATCTATTTCATTTGGAAGTTTGGTAATTGATTAGGGCAATAGATTTTCTTCAAGGCAGCCTCCCTGGGAGAGTCTGGCGAGGGCACAAGATTTACATACATCAGACTCACTCTGCCTGCAAAATCTGTCTTAGAGGATGAGATCACAAGGCCATTACTGGACTGGGGGAAGCTGGAAGGGTGGGAAGGCAGAGTGGAATTCCCAGACATCATTTCTCAACAACCAGGGCCATGGCTAGTTCAGAATGTTTTCAAGTACTTTCTGTCAGTAACTTGTAGGTAAATCCAAGGTTCTGTCTACTCAGGGTGTGATCAAGCAAGTGATTCTTTGAGGGTCTCTGTTGACCAAGCTTCTGTGTAGATGGGCCTCAGAAACTTACTATTAGCCTATGTCGTCACCAACAATGGCTACACTACTCTATGGCTGCACCACAGCCTCAGTGAAGTGGTATCCTGAGAGTTTGTATCATGCGGATTACCATGAAGATTAGCAGGGTCACCTTTTAGCAAACACTTGCTCTCTACTCAGATTCCTTCTGGAGGATATCTTGATCTTATATACCACCTTCTCCCCAGATTTTACTTCTAACTCTTTCTGCGTGTCTCTAGATCAAAATCTGCTGTAGAAAAACTTTCAAACCTGTCATTTGCCTTATGTAAATATAAAGCATGATGTTCCCTTCCTCAGAGAAACATTCATTTTAAGCCTTATCGCCCAATACGTGATAAAGAAATTTCCAACATCATTGTATTGATGAGAAGCTAGAGGGAATATATACCAGGAAAAAAGCATATTTTTTAATGTTACTTACATTGGAATGACACTACACACTCCATTGTGTAATGGGACTTCCTTTCTTTGGTCACACCACCTTCTAAATTAGTTGAGGCCAATAGGACTGTAATGAGAAGTTGACTATGATACATAGAAGTTTGAATGTAGTCCCAAATGTAAAGGTTGAAGGGTAAGAGTGTTTAGATTTTATCCATATATACATAAAGAATTTGTGGATGAATTGTGCCTCTATTGCCTGGATCCAGATGTCCCAGCATTCTCAATAAGAGGGCTGTGGCCCCACAAATAGTTGGGACACAAAGACATATCTCTGGGGTGACCTAAGGATATGACATACTTATATGATCTGTTTCATTCTTACTGTACCATCTCAGATCCATAGTGGAGGAAGTTTCTCTCTTGATCAGCCAAAAATAGACCCAGTTTCCACAGGGACCCCACAGATTAAGGAAACATCTCCACCTCCTTCTCCACCCAACACACAGAATGTTCTGCCTGGAATAGTGAAAAATTGTGCCGTTCATGTTCATTTTCAGGTAGGGATCCTACCCTTTCTAATTTACAGTTGCTAGTTTCATCTCTGGAACTAAAAAGTTGGTCCTAATCAAACCAATAGCATCAGCCAGCAGATGGAAAAAAACATTTTTTCCAAGGATGATACATGGAAGTTGTATTAGGCCATTCTTACACTGCTATAAAGACATGTCTGAGACTAGGTAATTTATAAGGAAAAGAGGTTTAATCGGCTCATGATTCTGTAGGCTGTACAGGCTTCTGCTTCTGGGGAGACCTCAGGAAACTTACAATCATGGTGGAAGGTGAAGGAGAAGCAGGCACATCTTCACATGGTTGATGGGAGAGAGACAGCATGCAAAAGGGAAGATGCTACACACTTTCAAACAACCAGATCTTGTGAAAACTCTATCATGCGACAACACTACAGGAATGGTGCTAAACTATTAGAAACCACCCCCATGATCCAATCACCTCCCACAAGGCCCCATCTCCAACACTGGGAATTATAATTCAATATGAGATTTGAGTGGGAACACAGAGCCAAACCATATCAGAGCTAGACAATCCCTTAAAACTGGCCTTGTCAATGAACTTGAGGTATCAGAAAACGCTGTGGATCTACTAGACAATGCTGTGGATGCCTACATTAGGTGAGCATCCTAATGTAGACCTGACCTATATTCCTTGGTAAGCATAAGGTAATATTAAGAGGCATACCTGGCAATCAGCAAACTTTATTGAGCATCTATGATGTGCAAGTTTTCATGCTATGAGGAATACAAAGATGAGTAAAGTCCAACTTATACCCTCAAAATGTAGACGGGGAAACACCCATGTAGTAACTACCACAAACTCACTTTCGCTTATACTGCACTGGGTGGCTATTAATATATCATTAATATATATTAATTTATTAATAAATTGATTTATTTATACCTATCATGGCTATATTATTTCCCCTGTTCCACATTTTATCAAATAGAAATGCAAGTACCAAGTTCAGTGATTCTCTTGAAACACAATAAGAAAACAAGAACCCCGTGAAGCATCCTGACAGCACTGATTTTTCCTGGAATAGGTGGAGGAGAACGTGCTGACTGAGCAGAATTAGCATACCATTCACACACATGTTAAAGAGGCCTGCAGTATGTACCTGGCATGACAACAGTGTCTGACACTAAGTAGTTTGTGGATAAATATTTGTTCAAATGAATGATTAAAAATGGAAGGTTTCAAGTGTTTTTAATGCAACTATGAAATCTGGATATTATGATTTTAAAGTAACTGCTTTTTCATACTGACGGTAGCCTCACTTAGCTAAAATGAATTTTAAGGAGCAATGATTATAGAGTGTAGACAGAGTGTCAATTTGGCATCAAAAACATGGGTTCTAAGCTTGATTAATACTAACTAGCCGGGTTGGCCTTGGGCAGGTCTTTTAAACTTTCTCAGCTTCCGTTTTCTCATTAAGTAGACTGAGAAATGGAGCACAAAGGAATCAACAGAACCAGTGGGGGTTAAGTTTGGGTTGGGGGCACCAGGAGACACAATACTCTGAGAAAGAAGAGATCAGCACGTGGCCTGCTGTGAACATAGAAAGCTTCACATGGGGATGGAACTTGAGCCTTGAAAGGTGAGCAGGATCTAGAAAAGAAGAGGAGGCCCCACTCTGCAGACAGGGAGGGAAGAAAAAATGCAGGCATAGCCCAGCCGACACTCAGGCAAACTCTGCAACTCATCCCTGTGGATGTAGACACGTGGGACCTGGGAGAGCAGGCCTGGGCAAAGGCACAAATTGGTGCAATCATTGGGTTTGTACTTCAGAAAACCACACATCACAACAAACAGAACCATAGAAAGAAGGATTCAGACAAGCTGTTCTCATAAATGAAGGAGGGTCTGCTCTGCATGCCTGCATGCCCTCCTTGAAGTTATCTGTGGAACATAGCTTCAAATACCCAAGCCATTGTGGTAACTATAGGAATTACTAACTGTCAGAATTCAAGTTGATAGGCAATGTGAGGTTTTAGTATTAACAACTATTTGAGTTAATCATTAATATCTGTACCTAAATTTCTTTTCTGAAATTCTCCATACAAAACTTAATCTTTGAACTTTTAAGAGGAGAGGAGCTCTGCTATACCAAGCATAAGGCTGTGCTGATGCTGAGGTCAGAGGGAAGAAAATAAACTCTCCATGATGTATTGAATATATATTTTTTCCTTTATTTCCTTTCTCTCTCCCTCTTGCTACTGTTTCCCTTCCTTCCTCCCTTCCTTTCTTTCCTCCCTCCCTTCTTCCCTTCTTTCCTTTCTCTTTCTTTCAGCCAAAAGTTAGTCAATGTCATAGAATGGAAAAGTCACTTAGGTAACAGTTTGAAAACCTTGGTCCCCCTCCCAAATTTGCCACTAAAATAAGTGTGTGAACCTGGCCAAGTCACTCTATTTCTCTGGCCTTCAATTTTCTCATTTGTAAAAGGAAGGTCCTGGACAGATCTGTGATTTTTCAAGTGCTGCCCCAGGGACGAGAGTGGGAGAGAAAGATAGATGGGCTTTCCAAATCCCTGTATGCTCCTCAACCCAAAGAAGCAAACTTCTTACCTTTTATATGCAGGGGAGGAGATTCCACAGTCATTCATTTGAAAAGAACACAGGGTTCTTTTTTCTGCTTATAGGAAAAAAATTAGAAACTCACTGGCCTAGTTGATCTGGGCAGCACTTTCCCACTCCAGGGTTGTAGGTTTCTCCTGTTCATTGATTTCTGTCATGTGAAAGACATTGTATCTGATGCTATCAGTAAAGATGGGAGAAATACAAGCATTGGCTCCAAGGAGCTCACTCAGCTTCAAGATTAACCAGTGGGGGTTAAGTTAGTGTTGCGGGCACCAGGAGACACAGTGCTCTGTGAAGAAATAGATCAGAATGAGCTGCTGTGAGCAGAGAAAGTTTCACATGGGGGTGGAACTTGAGCCTTGAAAGGTGAACGGTATCTAAAAGAGAAGAGAAAGCACTGTGCAGACAGAGAGAGCTATTTCTTCTGTCCCCAGGCTCTCACTGTGTGCTGTCTGTGAACTAGGCACAGGGACACAGAGGTGAATGAGACTGGCAGGGTCCCCGCTCTCCTGGAGCACACAGTTTGGTACAATGTGCACAACGCACCAAAGGACACGGAGGGCTCAGGGCCCACCTCCATCTTGTGGGCTTCATAACGAAGACAGAGCTGTTCCCACAGACTCATCTGCCTCTGGTTAGCTTAGGGAAGGCTGCCTGAGTCAGCATCAGGGCAGACTAATAACCTCCCGAAGTAACTTCTCATGAGACACGGCCCTGGCTGATTGGGTTTGGCAGGAATTCCGAGACATTCCAATATCTGCACAAAGGGCAGGCCCTTGCCCCAGCCAGGCTGACCTCAGCCTCCCACCTCCCAATAGATAATTATGCCTCTAGGTCTTCGAAGCAAGCCCCGTTGTGGGTAACCCTTGGAAGTGACATGCTGTTTTCTGATGGGAATTAAAGGGTCTGGAGTGGCCAAAAGGCTTCTCAGCAGGAGGGTTTGTTATTCTTTTAATTGTGGCATTAAACCTCAGGCTGGAATTGCATCAACATTCATGCTGCTATCCAGCTTGCCGAATTTGCTTCTTCTGACAGACTTTATCATGGCTAGGTCCAGTCTCACCCAGAGGTGAAGGCGGCCACCAATGCTTAGCTGGAAGTTGTAAATCTTGGAACTCGAGGAACTCCATACCCTGAACTTCCCTCCCAGGACTTTCTCTCCTTTGGACTGATGCCTGGAATTCTACCTTTGGGACTTTAGGGCATTCTACTGAAAACTTTAATCTCTCTTTCCCTGGGAGAAAATATTAGCTTAAGTTCATAGGGGTACAAAAAATAGAAGTTCACTGGTTATAGAGAACAATTAGAAAACAAACAGCTTGCTCAAGTGGGCAAGGGATGTAAGAATAATGTGCTTTATTGTAACTGCTGTAGAAGATTGTTGAACTGGAATTTACAAATTAATGCCATACCTTAACTTTGACATCTTAAATTAGATAACTCCAAAATAATAATAATAATAATAATAATAATAATAATAGCAGTAATAATTAACACAACATCTAGATTCAGTCTGTTTTCTACTCCATTTTATGGAATGGAATAGGATATATATTTCCCAATTGCAATCCCAGTCTGTAAAAGAACTGTTACCTAACAAGGCTTACCTCACACAGTTCTGGGTTGCTCCAAGGCCTCTGAAACATCTTTGAGATTATCCATCTCATTTCACAGCTGATGCAAACAGAGTCCCTGTTCCCCACGTGAGACACACTTCAGCTTTCATACTATTAAATACTATGAATTTTGAATGAATAATGATTCTCTTTAAAAATTACACATTCATTGTTTACATGTACCCAGTGTCAAACTCCAGCTAACTCCCCTATGATAGCATTTGTCTTCCTTCCTTCCTTCCTTCCTTCCTTCCTTCCTTCCTTCATTCAGCCTATTTATCAACTGTCAAGTACAGCATGGACACTGGTGGAAAGCAAAGCTCCCAAACCAAGTTCACAGTCCGGAGGTGAAATAGACATTAGTAAGTAATACAGCCCTATAACTGTTGGAGTTGAGTCATGTCAGAGAGAACCCAGAGGAAGGGACTTGTTAACTTGCCTGGGGTCCCTGGAAAAGCTTTACAGAGGAGTGGCTCCAACCGCTGGTGTCTGGACTTGGCCACTGATAGTCAGGGATTAAGACCAGAGTTGGCCCTTCCTCTGTGTTTTCAGAAAAAGATGGATAATCTAGGTGACTAAAATTGAATTTTTTTTCTAATTCTTTTCTTAGAAAAAAAGAGCAGGAGGACCTCAGGTTTTTTGACACCTCTTCAATAGAGGGCCACCTTAGCTCCTTCTCCCTGGAGAGCAGAGCCCAGGGCAAGCAAGTGGTTTTGCACAGGTGTCAGGGAAACCGAGATGTGTCCACTGTGATTCTGGTTAAGCTGAGAGTCCCAACTGGCAAGGGGCCAGCCTGGTGGCCTGCAAGTAATATAATACACAATTTAATGCAAGTGTGTGTGGCCTGTTTGGGGAGTCAATTAATAATAAGCATATACATCCATTTACAAAACAGCAGTGTGCGAGAGTATGCCCACATTGTAATTGGAAACTGAAATAATATCAGGAGGAATAATCATTTAAAAAAATCCTCCAAAAAGCCAAGAGTAATACTAAGAAAATAAAATTAAAAATGTCGTCCACCTGCAGAGTTATATCCTTAGGGAAGCACTGCAGAGCACACTAACAAGCAACTGAATCCAGGTATAAATGAACTGAAACCCATGAAGGCAACAGAAGGCAAGGTGGGGTGTGGAAGGAAAAAATCTCCCTTGTAGATTAGCTACCCCTGAATCAAGCGTAGTTCCATTTGATTGCTTCTTGTAGGAGATGGTAAGCTCCAAGGCCAGGCACAACCCTCAAGGGAAATTATTCTTTATCTGCCCATTCACAGAGTCTCGAATGTTAGTTTTGAACTTGGATCCTCCTTTCCCACTTCAGCACCCCCATGGCCATGCATAAGCACGAGCACACACATACACACACACACACACACACACACACACACACACACACCCCTCACTCATTCACCCCTGGGAGAATCCCAGACACGTAATTTACTGTTAGCTGCTAGCTGGGGAAGATTCCCTGCCAGAGAATTAACCGGAATAAGGGGATAGAGTAAGCATGAAGGAGGAGGAGAGAGCTCATAAACCCCAACTTGTGAACCCTGCAATCAAACAGGGGCTAAGCCAAAGATCTCCTGTCTGAGTTTTTTTTTTTTGTTTGTTTGTTTTTTTTTTTTTTTTTTTTTTTTTTTTT